GGGACTGGGTAAGATAAGGGAACATTCTGTGTAGCAGTTTTTATGTGTGTCTCTGCATGCGTATGTATCTAGGAGTAGTATTTGGTGAAGAAATATTTAGACTGAACCTTGTTGATTGGATTATATTGCATTTTGCCCTTTCCATCATTATTATATTATTAGCTAATGTTTATTTTCATAACCATTCTTTTACTACATCTGTAAAAAAATAAAATCCTGCTTTGAAGTTCAGGATTATATTGTGCTGAGAATATTAGAAATTGGCTAAAGCACAGCCATGGAGGGAGGGGGCTGAGCATGGGAATATTAAGGCTGAGTGGAGCAAAAGCTAGAGATGTTCTGAAGCCCTGGTCCCATGATCTTTAATAACATAGCTTAGTTTGTCTTCCACTCCACAAACAGAACCACTGATTTTCTCTCATGAGTAAGATTTAAAGGATCAAAACTCTTAACTTGACACTGGTGGACATATTGGCATCATTTGGTTTAATCTACTGAAAAATTTATTTTTACTCTGATTCAGAAGAGAAAAATGAGCAAACTCCCTACATAGTCACTGGAAAGAGGTAAGTGCTCCCAGGGAGCCTCTTAGGCAGTGTCACTAAAATGACTAAAGCAGACAGCATAGAAAATGTGGTTCTGAAATATAACCGTACCGTGTGGTTCTTAGAAAGCTAGACAGAGACTTGGGTGCATGTTAAGATAGTCAAAGAAAGATAAACTTATGGTGGAGTTCTTGCTGCTTTCTTTTGGAATGTTAATAGCCCAAATTAAACAGTGGAGAGTACTCCAAATACCAGAGCAATGAAAAAGTTTACAGCAGCGATAGCAGCATTTGGAGTATCCATATTTTTTCTCAAGGTCTGCTCACTTCCCATGACTTTCAGATTACTTGTATATAGCCAAATATAACTCAGGGTGCAGATACGATGGAGGACTGATTTTGAGTGCCTGGGTATAATTTCTTCACTGATGTTACCCGATGAATCCGAAACAGAACAGAACCAAATAATATTGCTTTCTATTATAAGAAGTGTATTTTGTCCCATAGATGACAGGTTAGTGCACTCAATCAGCAAGGAGTTCAAGTGAACTGGCACAGAAAAATTCCCCCTTTAAGTAAGAATAAAGTGAATTTCTAAAGTCAGCATAGAAATTTAAGTAACCTCTATTATTAAAATTATGTAGTCTCTGGGTAAAAATAGTAAGTTTGTTCTCAAAGTCTGACAACCTTGTCTTTTATAGTCCTGAATTGAGGTGTTACATGCAGCTTTCACTTCAGAGTGGGCATGAGAGAAAGCACCATCTCCTTAGGCCAGAAGCTGAAGTTTTGGTCACACATTTTTTGCAAACAGAAGTGATCAGGGACCAAGCTGCCAGGCTGGAAAAATGGCAAAGCAGCAAGCAGAGAGATAAAAGCTGGGCATTTGTGCCCATCCAGCTCACCAGTCTGGCCCTTGCTGCATGCAATCTATTGGTTGAGCCAGCCTTGCTGCTTATTGTTCCCCATGTGCAATGTGAGGAATATCATGTGTTTAGAACACTTCATACATGGAAGGAACTAAACACAGGCACATTTGAAAAGATGGAAGTGTATTTCAAAACCACTCTTGTTAGATTCTCCATGTTGGTAACTTGGCAGCAAGGTTCAACTTACTGCTTGTGTGGAGTTTTTTTGGACTAGCAGCTTATTTTAGGGGACAGCACAGTAATATGCTGAGCTTCCTTTGGCCTCTATGGTGTTAAAGAAACCGAAAGCAAATTAGCTGTAATGCTGCTATGTGTCTGCAAAGTAATCAAAGCTGTATCCTGGAGAAGACTTGCCATCTTGGGTAAACCCCAGCTGTCCTGGGCAGCCATCACTCCAAAAGCAAACCTTTGACCCCTTTATATTTTCATAATTATATGTATGTTATCAAAAAGAAGCAGGAACATGGGAAAGAAAAAAGTTTAAAATAAGTATCTGTACTGTGGGAGTATGGTGGGGTAAAAGTGGTGAGGGCAGCAGCTCTCCTTCACAGCAGAGTGCAAGTCTCTGCAAGAGTCTATTGCATACGTATCCATATCATTTAGAAAGGCACTGTTGCCTGAGCATCTTCCTGGCTTACCCTAAAGCAATCTGAGAGCAAATAGACCATAAAAATGGCCTTAGTTTGTGCTTTCTAGGTCCAGAGCCAGTGGGAGACCAGGCTAAGCAAATGCACCTTCTAGTTTGGCAAGTTTGGGTGCTGTCGGCTGGTGAGAGTATACAGATGCTACATATCCTAACTTGAAACATCTGAGGAAAGTAGAAGTAACATATGAACGATGAATATGGGATAAGAGGTTCTCATGCAGAAATGAAAAAAAGATAAGGAAAAGGGTAATTTTTTGCTGCTTTTCCACTATGGTCCTACAAGTCCTCTAGTAAATGCCAGAATGTAAAAAATATGAACCAACCAACAAAAAAAAAAAAAATAAAAAAAAAAACCACACACACACAAAAAAAAAAACATCATCAGAGACTAGATTAAAACAGTTTATATGCTAAAAAGGTTTGATCCAATTGCTCTTGAAGTCATAAGAAATTAACTTGAGAGAGTTTCATACTGAATGCCTAAGGACATTCTTATAATAAATGAGCTGCCTCACTGAACAGACTTGAAGAGGTTGGGGTAAAGTGAAAAACATTCATTTACAGAGCTGTGGGCTAATGTACCAACATTCACAGAATTACAGTGGTCACAGCCCCAGGCAAATCATAGATTAAATATAACATCAGTGTCAGCAAGAGCAGCAGTGGGCTCTACATTAGCTCAAGAGTAACTATGTTTACCATCTTCTTACCTCTTGGGTTTTCTTTCTAATATTTTAAATGTTCTAAATCAAATTAATTTCATTTGGACAACATGAGAAGCTGATCAAGGCTTCTTGATAAGCATTTATGTGACATAGAAGACACTACTGCCCAGATACCAGTTCCATCATGCGTATGGAGCAGGAGGAGTCAATGCCCGACTTGTGAGGGACAAAGGGAAAGGAGAAAGGGATATGTCACTCCTGGAAGAAGATCCTGTGATTCCAAATAAATAGAGAGGATAAATAAGTATCCAACCAGCTGAGGTGGTTTTACCAGTCTGCTTCAGTAAAGAGTAGCTGCAGTACCACTGCCAGAGAACACTGGAATTTGTGAGAAAATGAGAGGTTGGGAAAGGAAGAGAAAGCTTGGGAAGAAGCTGTAGAACAGAGAGTGAAAAAGGATTGTATCAGAAGATTTGCATCACCAATTAACCACAGATATTTTGTGGCTGATGTGTCAGCCTCATTTTATTTTGGGAGTTGTCTTTTAGGAGGAAGAACAGTCCATGTGCTCTCATAAACTAAAGATAAATGGAAGAGATGTCTGTTGTTCTGTTGAGTTACCAGTGATACTAAACATCCTTTTGTTTCTCCTTATCCTCTTCCCATAAAGCCAAAAGCATAAAATTAGCACAACACAAACATTAGCAAGGCCCCCACACGCAGGGATTACACAGAAATCTGTAAAGTGTTCTACTAAGCCAGAAACATGGTCAAAACTTGGAAGCCCTGTCAAGAAAAGTGATGTTGCAAGCAAGGATGTTTGTAATGTTTGATAGCAAAACTTTCCCTCCTGTGTATTATTAATAGCAGCTCTGAGTGCTGGCCGAGGTGAGCGTGCCACGATAATGGTATGAGCAGTAAGTAGAAAGTGTTCAGCAGTGAGCAAATATGTAAGCAATAGACCGTAGTAATCCCAAAGAAGCAGTTCTCCTTTCAGCCTTTGTGCACCTATCCCTAATGTGTGTGATTTCCAAAACATTTGAGAACTAAGTAGAAAGTCTTAGTCTGATGTCTTCACATTCCCTGTCCTGGAATTCCTCACACACACACTCTCTTCTGGTATATCAGTTCAGTTCCTTTCAAAGAAAATTACGCTTTAAAGCTCAATAAAAAATTTAGGACACAGGCAAGAGAGGGAAAAAGGCAATTATTGTTACTTTTCCTCTCAGATACTTCTGTGTCACATCACTACTATTATTGCAGGGGCCACACCTACCTACGCAGACATTTTCTTGGGAAGAGAAGCACAAAGAGTATCTTGACATCTCAGATGGTTCTGTCACTACAGAAAATTAACACAATTCATTTGCTTACATGATCTGATAGTCCTTTCTGCACATTTATGTGATGTTAAAATGCTAACATTGGTATGAGCTCCATAGATTTTAATTTGCTTTTGAATTTTTGTGTTTACCTAGCCATTAACTGTGTATCTGTACTTCACATTAGGGAATAAAATTTACCAAGGAAATAATATACAGAAGAGATAAAGTCTTATGAAGGAAGCAAATATTGAGTATAGTTTGGCTGCCATTCAAAATTGCTGAATTCTGATGCCTCAGTTCATTTCAGTGGGAGCCTTGCTCTCTATCGGTCTAAGCTGTTGTCAGTGGTAGCCAGCAGAGTAATAGCTAACTTGGCTTTTGACAGATAGAGCTTCTTGCTAGCCAGCTGTGTTAGTAAACAGTTTTGAAAGCATTTTTATCTAGTGTTGCATTGACAAAAACTTGCAATCATTGAAATTGAAAGTCTGAATTAGAAAGGAATCTTGCGTCCTCCTTGTCTGTATTGTCAATGTATAAATACGTTGCATTTAAAACAGCATTTTTTTGTTTGGATTCCTTTTATTTTCTTTGAACAAACACTTGTATATTTTCTTTGCTTTGAGCATACCATGTGTAAATGCCATTTTTTAGCATGGCTAAGTAATTGTTGAGGTTTTGCTCTTTGTCACAAACACAAATATCTATCAGTGAGAAAAGTTTAAATGACCTCTCTTGAAGTTTGGATTTTGTCCTGAGTTCTAACAACTAACATCTGACAAAGAAAAGTAACTAAAGAAATGTATCTTGCTCCCACTGGAGTCAAAGAACCAAGCAAACAGTAGGAGAACCTAGGGTCAAGGTTATGGATAGTTGCAGTAGCAATCTAAAATGCTGTATAGGTGAAAGATATATTCCATTTCTTTTGAAAAATACATTTAATGTACTTAAGTCACACTAGACTTTAATGAATGCTTACATTTAACAGAGAATTAAGTTTCTTTGCTGAATGAGGGCCTAAATGAAATCGTTTTAAAAAATAAAAAATAAGAGTTTTCTAGTCTTGTAGATTTTTCATCTCTAATTAAGATATTGGGGAAATTGTAAGTTTTTTATTTTTTTAAGGAGAAATAGACAAAATTCATAACAAGAAATTGTTACTTATTTCTGATTTCTCCTTCCAGGTTTTTAAAAAGTAAGCCCCACAAACTTTGAAAACAGAAAGGATAAAAACAATCCAGAAGAGTGCATAAGGAGTACAAGCAAGGAAATTACTAGAAACAGCTGACCTTAAACCAGTCTTTCAGAATGACAGGCTGCCAAAGTTAAAGGAGCAGATGGACAAGAAAAGAATATCAAAGAAAGGACAGAAAAAGTACTCAGCCTTTGTTTTAAGTACTTTTAGACATTTCTCCTGCCGTTGTGTTATTGACTTAAAGAATAATGACTTCCTTCGCTTCCTAATTTCTATAAATTATGTTTTTTTTACAGGTAGGACAATGTCAGCTTCACCATGCAGAGTGTTTACAGTTGGGAATGTTTGCAAGGAGAAAAGATAACTTTATCAGATTACTTTTCACAGGGTTTTTTCTGCAGATCTCCTAGGCACTATAAGGTTCACTGTTGAAAGATTTGGGGTGAAATCATGGCCAATGGGAATTCTGCCATCAACTTCAAAAGAGTAAGATTTCATCCTTGATCTTATTTGTTTAGCAAGAAAGTGCTTATTTTTCTATTCTTTTTTTTTTTTGTGCACAAACTGCCAGCTTTGCATGAAACAAACCATCCTGATTTCCAGAGGGCCTTTCAAAAGCCGGGTGATTGCCAAAATTGCAAATCCAATTTGTTCACAGATTGACCAGTGTGTGATCATTCCAATTATATTTGGCACATGTCAAGTGGAAGAATCAAACCTCCCTCTTTTTGGATCACTTATACACACTTCAAAAAATAAACTACCAATATAATTAGCTGCTGAAATGCTTGGCAGGTTGCCCTGAAAAAATCCCCACCAGAAGAAAACACACTCCCTTGATTCTCCCCAAGCTTGTTCTTCAATAAGCTACCCAGATCTCGTCCCTTGCACCTGCACTGATTAATGTAATCCTCCTGACTGCCTGCGGGTACCCCCAGAAACTAGTTTTCCCACAAGTGAGGTCCAGGAACTGTGTTCCATGAGAGCTGGACAACGTGGCAAGATCATTCCCCCCCTCCCTCAGTCTCACCCTGCACAAGCTGCTGGTTAGGCCCATCTGCACGTCGAATGTGCTTATTGGCACCCTATTTAATAACTGTGTTACAGGTCCATGTTGAGGTTTTCTTTTTGTGCGTCGGTGAAAATGTGTGACCCCATCAAGCTGCCTGAAACCCTGTGTAGGAGCTACTTTTTCTAGCAAACATCTGCCTTACCTCTTAAAAAAGGTCCTTCTCTTCTCCCTTTTGCCTAATCCTGCCAAAAGCAAATTCACTGAGCATGCTACTTATTTTGTTGCTAGCTTGAAAGGCAGAAGATCTTCCTTTTATTTCTTTATCATTTCCATTTTCCTTCCCAGTAATTGTCATGAGAATAGCTTCAAAACACTCAGAAGCTGAGAAACAGAAAAATACAGTGCTGAAGAAGGAAAGCCAAATAGCAGGTAAATGTATCATGAAACACAAGCTTATTCAGTAAAACTACATTTTTGAGAAGAGTTTGGCAAGAGCTAAAACACACCTTTGGGCTTTTAAAGCCAGTTTATACTTTGTCATCAGAACACTGTGGACCGTCCACTGCTTAATCTTTAAAAGACATTACTTCTGAAGCTGATTCACAGTCCCCTGGTGCTCTAAGTTCCACTTTGTGCTGTTAACTCTCACCCTATTTCTACAAACCCAAGTCTCAAGATTATCCAGATCCTGACCCTCCTCTATGCTTGAATGCTTCTTAGTGTTCTTTTCTAGCAATTTTTTTAAGGACCCATTTTGAGGGAAGACCATCAATAAAACTATTAAATCAGCAACATCTCGTGACCATTCTCTGTCAAAAAAAAGCCCTTTTTAGGTTGAAGCAACACCTCACTTTCTCCCTAGTATTTCTGTTCTGACGATCACTTTCAATTTTATACATCTTGTCCATCTCAGTTCAGTTCTCATGTAGAACATAATCAAAGGTTACTGCAAGTGTTCTAGACAAGTCTGGACAGTTTATATCTGGTTCATCACCCTTACCCAGGAACAGTTTATCACAAAAGCTGCCAGATAAGCCTTGCGTTATCCATATTTGGTAAGTATTGTTGCACTTCTTCCATGTCTTTATTTATGTTTTTCTTCAAAATTGTTCTGAATTCATGAATACTGACAAATAGATCTGTAGATGCCTGGTTTGTGTTTTTCTTTCATTAAATATAGCTAGTAAGTTTATTATTCTCTAGTCAAAAGCTACCACAGTCAGTGTGATGGGTGTATTTATAACAGTTTCTACCAGACTTCCAGCTCCACGTGCCAGTTCTCTCAGTGTCCTGGGATCATTTGATCCCTCTGGCTGAACCATGGTGAACTATTGAAGACTGTCTGCCTTATTGTATACAATAATGTTCATATCCATAATTCAGCTCTCCCCATTTTCTATCAAATATTCCCATTGAAAAGTGATGAACCACTTCATTTTAGAAGTTTCTCAGCATGGGAAAATTCAATTCTGAATTTATGTTCACATACACCATCTCATGAAATTGTGTGATATTGCTACCCAAAGACTGCATTTTGGGGAGAAAAACAGTTACACTTGTAAGGATATGCAAACCCTAACAAAAATCTTATGAAAGTAGTTTTTAGGCAGGAAACCTTGATAGCTAGTAAAGTAATAGATCTCCCTCACTCCTTTTCATTTACAAACTACTTCAAACTGAACAGATTAAAAACTTATTATTAACATCCTCTAGAGGACGTTGTGTGTTGTGTTTCTGCTTTTTCAGGCAATGTAGCAATCCTTGCTTGTATATATGGCATTGGGACACTGCTCTTCTTTCTAAACCTGTATTTCTGGATGTGTGCAAATCAGCCCTTCAAGATCGTTCCAGACAGAAACTTGGCTTCCAGACTCTTGGTGCAGAGGAGAAAGGTTTTCTTTTCTTCTTGCTTTTGACAAAAGTAGTTTTGATAATGTGTAAGCCACACCACTGGAATGCAGTAAATAAACATTTAAAAGACCTATTAACAGGCTCAGCCAGTTTGTTTACCTAGCTCTAACTCAAATGACCTCAGTTTAAATCACAGTTCAGGCATTCAGCTGTGCCCTGAGTTTCTGCATCCTGCCCCCTCACAAGGACAAAGGAACTGAACAAAGAGCATCACAACATTTGGGAGTATGCAGGAACAACAGATACAGGGGAGCACCAAAGCCTCAGGACCACATTTGAGCGCAGAGGGCACTGTAGGCACTGCTTACACCGTACCCAGAATGTGAGATTCTGGGCAAGGAGACACAAATCCACCCATCCCAGAAGTCAAGCTATTGTAATGCTCTACTGCTATTCTACTCTCTGCTCATTTTTATAAGTAGAAGGAAATGCAGGCCACAGAGAATGAAGGTAATGGACCCACTATTACAGAAATTCCCTATTGTTCTCTCCTTTCAAAGGGATATGGCAAGAACATTGCATTTCATGCTATGAAATTGTATTGGTATTCCTCAGCTGCTGGGTTCCTCCAAGCCCCTCCTGGGGTCAGTGCTATGAATATCCCCTCCAGCACAGCAAGCTGAGGCAGGCAGCAGCCAGGGATGGCATTTGGCTTGGAGAATGTTTAGTTATGTGAACATCAGCTTTCGCAATCTGATTCATAGCCTGAACGAAGGTTGCGAGTTTGCAGGCTGGTATGTGGACCCATTCAACACTAGATTATAGCTTTGCCATCTTTTGCTTAACTTGAAGAGAGTCAAGTTACAGTGAACATAAAAACTCTTTAGAATCCCCTGTGCATTTAAATTTCTCCCCTTCCTCCCCATTCCAAGTTCCATTCCATCAGGAATCCATCAGGAGTCTGTGTTTTAGAGAGGTAATGAAGAAAAAGAGTTATGCATATATTGTTCCTCCATGGTCACTTGAAATCTTTTACTTTAATTGTCTAAAGAAGGAAAATACTGCCTGCTTTCAACTACAGAGTTAATCAAGAGTCTTAAAAGTTTTGTGTAGAAGAGAGGAAATCCCCCCTGTCCCTTCTCCCTCTATAACTTCAGCACTAAACCAGTCATCCAGCTTTGCTTGAGCTTGTGCCTGAGGCATCCAAGAGCACTCCATGGCCTCATAAGGAAACAGACATGACTGTAGGACAGTTAGAGGGGCCTCACAGTGTCTTAATTCAGTTCATAGCCTAAAATTAAGGAGAGTTAATTGAGACCACAGTTTAATGGAAGTAGAGGTGTGAAAAAGACTCGAAAAAATACCTGGTGCAGACATATGTAAATAAAAGGCTTCAAGTACTTAATAATCATAGTGTTTGCATCACAGGGAGGATTTTCTCATAATATTTACAAGCAAATGGACAGTGTTTGTGTCAGAAGTGCACAGCCTAACCTGAAACAATGCTACTTGTGTTTGGTTGGGGTTTTTCCCCTCTGAGAAACTCTTCTTCTTCAAATATAAGGCTGTAATTGTCTTATACGTCATGGTTTCCATTTATAGCAAAGTCAGCATAGCTCCTTAGTGCTGTTTAGTGGAAAAAGAGAAAGATTTGGTTATTTAAACAGGAGCCCAGTCTCTATGGGATGTGTAAATTGTGTGGAGTTTCATGAGTAGGCATGCAGCTTTTATAGCTAAAACTGTTGATGAAAAGGGCTACAAACAAACAATGAGACCATGTATGGGGTTGTTTTAGATTAAGATTTGCTTTTTGATTAATTGTTGTCTTCTCCAAGAACAAACTGAATGTAAGGACAGATCCTGGCTCCTCCCTTATGCTCTTTGCAATGCCTTGATACAAGGTGAGATGCTGACCTGAAAATATTTGGATTTACTTTGAGATAAAACACTAAATACCTTATTCTCATTTTGATTGTTATGGTCCTAACAGATATGCCAAATGATGCCTTTTAAGTGTTAAAACCAGTCAACACCACGCTGCAGCCATCACAGTAATTGTCCCTTGCCAACAGAGCCAAAGAAATGTATAGACAGTTCACTGGTCCTTTTCTGAATGTGAAATGCTTCATCCAGGTATCAAGCAGAGAATGGTGGGTGCTGTGAGGACAAAACTAACCAAGCTGCGTGTACCAAGGTGAACACAACACTAATGTACATTAACATCAGGTTAGCATTGGGAGAATATATTTCATAAAGCAGACACTTTGAGCTACCAACCCTGTTCCCCTTCAAAGGCTGAACTTGAAAACTAAAATTAATAATTCCACTTGTTTTATAGACAATAGAAATACTTCTTCCTATCAAGCTTTCTCTCCCACAAATCTTTTTCTTTTTGTTCTACTGAAACTAATGACCTTATCATCTGTGCTCTTCTAAAATCCTCTGTCACTCCTTTTTTCTTTCAAAATTGTCTAATTCCTTAAAATAAATAAAATATACTCAGAGCAGTTGTTCTGTTCTCAGCTTTTCTCAATCCGTTCTTGACCTTTTTTCAATTCAGATTTTCTTCTACCTCAGACTCAAAGAAAAACTATTTATCCCAGGTGCTGCTTGTTTGTTTCATCTGTGTAGAAGTTTGCTGAATGGCACACAACCAGGATGTTTATATTTTTTTGAGGAATTTCATTATTTAATAGTATATATAACCTGGACTTCTTAAAGTATAAAAAAAAAAATGAACAAACAATGTTTTCATAGCATCATAGAATCACCGAACAGCCCAGGTTGGAAAGGAATTTGAAAAACTATCTGGTCCAATCTTTCGTGAGGATAGGAGTCTAGATAAGCCTAGATGTTAGTTCCTATAATACCTAAGGATTATAAAAAGTGGAAATAATGGGAATAATCTTGTAAACAGAACTGCCATTGAGTAGGTAATGTGATGTTTGATGTTTGCTGTTCAGACTGTCCTTTATAGGCAATGAAAACTTTTGCACCTTCTGTCACTGATGATCAAAGATCTGGTTGTGTAGTGTATTAAAAGAACCATCAGTTATCATTTCTTTTCAAAGGAGCATTAGTCTTGTGTTTCTAAACTGTTGGTTTCATGCAGTAAAAAAGCCTTTGGAGAAGTGATTATCCCGGGACCTGATGTTCCATACTTGGTGATGCATGTGCTTCTCTGCATGTTCTGTTGGAAATCTGTAATGTCACTTTTCCTGTTGTTGATCATCAGTATTTTTTAAGAGGACACGAAATTGAAGTATATGTGTTTAAGGCCTTATTAGCACAAGAATATTTCATGCCTGTTAGCTGTTAGTGTAGATATTCTTCTCAATTTGTATCCTTTCTGACTTACAGACTTGTTATTTTTCGCTATGTTTTTCTGTGATAATCACCAGGTTAAGACATTTGTCTCTTCAGATTTAGGTTTCTTTCTAAGAATTTCCTAATCAACCTCTCTTCATTTGGCTTCTTTTTGTGAATTATAAATACTTTGTCATTATTTTAGAAACTAAAGATTATGCCTAAGTGCTTAATTAATAACTTGGTTTAATGGCTGACCTCTAAAATCTGGGTTGATGAAAGTTTATGGCCAGACTAATACAGTTACTAATTTGAAGGTGGAAATATTGTCATATGT